GAGAATGAGAGAGAGAGAGAGAGAGAGAGAGAGTGAGAGAGAGAAAGAGAGACGAAAGAAGCGCCTAGCGGTTTTACATCCACGTCAAATGCATCAAAATGGATTTAGTTAAACGACTGCGTCGTACTGCTGAGAGGAGCAACGAGCGAGATGTTGTTCCACTGCTGAAGAATGAATCTTCTCTAGGGCATTCCGTGACCAGCGAACCGGGGCCAGAACGATCGTTCGACCATCCGACGTTGGCGAAATCGTCGATTCGCGAACTGCTCGTTCTCGTCCTGGTTCCAACGTGCGATTCGCGAAACGAGACAAAAGACGAGAAAAGAAAAAAAAAAAGAAAAAGTTGAAAAAAAAGCGATCGTTTGTGATCGTGTCGAAACTGAGCCGCGATAATATTACACGTAATAATTTTATACATTAACCGGTGACATACACACACACACTTGACCTCTGTGTCCACTTCTCGTCGCGAGAGACGAGACTTTTTCTCTCCCCTTTGCCCTCTCAGCAGCACCGTCGTTGGTTCACAAACTAATTGTAAATTTTAGATACTACCGCGCGTAAAATAAATAGGAGAAAGGAAGAGATGGGAGAGAAAAATACGAGAGTGAAATTTGCGCGAGAGCGAGAGAGCGAACGAACGAACGAACGAACGAACGAACGAGCGAGAGAGAGAGAGAGAGAGAAAGAGAGCGAAAAATTTAAAAAAAAAGGCGATAGATAAGAAAGAAGCGAGGCGTTACTATAGTGGAGGAGAGGAGGAATAAGAAGTGTAACAAAACAGCAAAAAAAAAAAAATAATAATAATAATAATACGATAATACACATAACAACACACACTATATATTGTAATATTATTTTTCGAACATAGTAATGTAATGTAGATTATAATATATGTATTATATATTATATATATTATATATATAATATGATATTGTAATTGATCATTTCGTATAGCGCCTACGGCTGGACGAAGTGTTTCGAGGTTTAAGAGAAATACAAGAGATGATAAATGAAACTGAAGAAAAAGAAAAAAGGGAGAAAAACTTAAAAAAAAAAAAGGGAGAAAAAAAAAGGAAAAAAACAATTAATTAAGGTGGGCCAGAAGCGTCAGCGAGGCGAGTGGCGCAGAGTCACGGCACGCAACATATTTTTACCAAGATTTTTCAGATATTCAGTCCTCCCCCTTCCCCCTCCCCCGACCGCCCATCCGCCCATCGATTCCTCCATGTAAACGAGAACTTTAAAAATAAGAGAAAAGAATGAAAAAAAAGAAGAAGAATAAGAAGAAAAATGGTCACGTGCTCACGCGCCACTATTTGCCTCCGCGCCATTTTCTTAGCGTGCGGCCATAAATCGGTCATCGAACGGTCAAATCGATCTCGTTGTGTTCAAGAATGCTGCTGTGTCTTCGTACAAAAAAAAAAAAAAAACAGAAAAATGTGAGAAACACGAGGGTGAGAAGCATCTCGTAGAAGAGACAGGCAGATCGAATGCGTCGTTGTAACGAGTGAGTTATAAAAAAAAAAAATTAGTAGCGAGAGAGAGAGAGAGAGAGAGAGAAGATGTAAAATGATGATCGCGCGACGAACGCGATGTTTCGTACGAATTTTTTTCAACAAGTTCGATTTTTCTAAAAGCTAGAGATCCTCCGTACGCTGTCCTATGTCACTGGAACTCTGAACAGTCGTCGTTGATAGACTAGAGAGAGAAACAAAATAACAAAGATAAAAGGGTGTTTGTAGAACGAAGAACGAAACGGAGAGAGAGAGAGAGAGAGAGAGAGAGAGAGGGAGAGAGTGAGAAAAAATGACGAAGAGAAAAGGAAATAATCGTTGTTCCAGATAATTAATTTTTTTTCGAACGTTTGACGACCGAGCTGTGGCAGAATTTTCAATTGGTCGAGTCGAGAAATGAAACGAAGACGCGACAAGGCAGTATAATGATATTAACCGATCGCTGAGGATAAATAACTGACGCCACGAATATTGACGCCGCCCGTCCTCTTCGAATTTCATTCCCCGACCTCGACACCTGCGTATCCTAATTTTTTCAATGTCCACGAGAGGACGAAGAGTCAAGCAGATGCGTGTACAGTGGGGGTGATTGGTTATTATAATATGAATAAAAAAGAAAAAAGAGAAAAGGAAAGTCAGTAATCCCTAATTCCAATTCCCTTTGAACTTTTCCACTTTTTGAGAGTGCGCGAGAGAGAGAGAATGAAAGAGACAAAAGAGAAAGCGAGAATGAAAAATCACCCTCGATCGCTCCCGATATCCTTTTTCCTCCAATATTTAATGTCCATTCGAACACATTTTTAGGAGCTCCTCGTATGTCGGCCCGAAATGGAAATGAGACGACAGAACAACTAAGAAAAGAAAATGGGAAAAAACAAGGAAAACAAAGTTAAAAGAATTTTAAAAAGTGAGAGAGGGAGAGAGAGAAAGAGAGAGAGAATATGAAGAAAAACTCAAAAATAAACGATGCGTTTTTTCTAATCGAACCGTTTCGAATCCGACGATTTTTGTAATACGTGAACGTTGCCATAATGCTAAGTTGTTTCAATCGAACATTTATATATATACATATTATACATACGTATATACATATTATTATTGGCCATTAAATACAATCGAGCGAGCGAACGAGCAAAAAAGAGAGCGAAAGGGGGAGAGAGAGAGAGAGAGAGAGAGAGAAATTGGAAAGGAAGAAAGAAAGAAAGAAAGAGAGAGAGTGAAAGAAGAATAATCGAGAATTTCGTCATGTCGAACAACACACAGTTTCTGCAATCTATAAATTACTAACAATTCCCAATTTCATTGGTCATTCATTTTACATTTTTTCTTCTTTTTTCTTTTTCTTTTCTTGCGACAACAACAGTTACATTTTTGTTACGATAGTTTGTTGTAACGAATACACTGGCGTGTTGAACTTGTGGGTGAGGAGCCAAGAACCGCGAGAGACTGGATGATTATCTATTTTCTGCGAGGCACAATCTGCTCGTGACAGGATTTCTTTAAATTTACTTCTTTACGTATGAATCACGTTGTTTCGTCCACAAGTAAATGATACAACAACAAAAGAAAGGAAGTAAAAGAAGCTGTTATTCTGACGTTCTCTTCGGTGATTAGCTTTCCAATGTTTTAATCGACGAGAGTGAAAAGTAGAAAGAAAACGGAAGAAAGGAGAAAGTGAAACGTCCGCGTGCGAAGTTATTGAAATCGATCGAACGGTTCAAGTCCTCGATGATTAGAAGTTCACGAAGAGACGAATACGAGCAGCTTGTGTTAATAAAGAGAAACAGAGATTTAAACAGAGAGAGAGAGAGAGAGAGAGAGAGAGAGAGAGAGANGAGAGAGAGAGAGAGAGAGAGAGAGAGAGAGAGAGAGAGAGGACTGTACGGACTAAAGAGGAAAAGAAATTAACATTGTGATGTTTACTGATCAAATATGTCAAAAGAGAAAAAAATGAAAAAAAAAAATGAAAAATGAGGAGGCCCACTGGTTGAGGCCCGACATTTCTGAGTACACTATAAATAATAAACATTATGTAAAATTTACACAAGATTTGTTTTTTCCTTTTCCCCGTATGTAACATATATTTGTTTGGATGGACGCTGAACGTAATGATTTTGTATGGGATCGTTCCCCTAACGTACATAAGTACACGCCATACCACCAATGTCTGTATCTACTCTTCGATGTCGTATTCGTAGAGGTTAATTCATCGATTGATCAAGATTTTATCAATTTCTATTGGAGCTGTAAATTTAAAAACACGTCGAAAAGATCATCATATAATTTTAGAATTTCTCTTTTACTTTGTATCTCGTTCGAGTTTTGCAGTATATTTTATGCTTCCAGCAAAGAAAGCGTAGGTCTACGTAGGTAGTACATATTATTCGTGAGATAGCAGCGCTAATCGCATTTCCTGGCAAATTCTAACGAACTGCATATGTTGCTGAATGTGATTGGCGCAACGTTCGAAATAGCGCAGCACGCTCTGGCCAATCAAAAATCAGCTATGATTTTACTCTCGGACAAAAAGCTATCAGTCTCGATACCGCTCGCCTCGTGTGCGAGACTCGTGGTAACAGTAATGATGGAATCGAATGCATTGCAAATCTGAACTTTGAACTTCTGTTCATACTTTGAAAAAAAATATTTCGAATTTATCCTACAATGTAATTTCAAACAACAATTGTAAGAAAGACATCTAAGTGAGAACGATTGAATCTTAACTAGATAAGCAACACCAACGTAACGAGCTCGAATACTACTTACTGTTACTTTTTCGCGAGTAAATTTTCCAGATCAGATATTCGTTCGTGTTGCAATAATTCTAGCATCTTCCAAACGCAATTACGAAATGAAACTTTCGAGCATCGAAGTCGACTCGAGCCCATCACTAGACAGCAATGCATTTGATAAGACGCGACTGCGCACAGCCGGAAAACGCTCGGCGTTCATTATTACGTTCTCGAACAATTTGCTTGAAGTTAGCCGCGATTCCACTCACCTATCAGCGCTCTTGGTTCGTTTAACGCTCTCTTGTATTTGCACACTGTACTTCTCACGGTGTTTGAGTATCCTAAAAGAAACTTGAAAATAAAATGGACAATTCTGTATTAGTTACAGAGAACGATAATTGTGATTATTACTTTATCGTTGTCGTACATTTTTGGCATGGATCAAACTTAAGAGGTAAGATTTATTAAAATACCTTCATCTCTTGATCGATACGATCGATCAGTTTTCTTCTACAAAACTACATTCTCATTTTCTTCAGTTTTTCTTTTTTTTTTTTTTCTTATCAATAATCAGTCAAACAAACTCCATTGCTCCGCGTTACTTTACAAACTGGGATAGGACATTAGGAAACGAATGGAATTCGACACATTCACACTTCGAACACGAGCATGCGTTCTACCGTGCGAGTTCGCAATCGCGAGAATTGAACTCGTGCAACTTCAGACAAGTGCAACGAGAGGCCTTCCATTGCGAGGTGATACGCAAGCGTCGCACGCACATACACACGCACATACACACACACACACACACGTACGTACGTGCAAGCACTGTGGAGCCGTACCGAGCGATCATTAGAGGCTTGTTGTTAGTCTCCACGGATTTTACCGACGCGCGAACCAATTTTACGGCCGGTTGTTTCGTCAGCCCGTGTTGTTTGAAAGATGCGTCGGTGCTTGCCGGGGAATTGGCACCCGGGGCTAGTGAATTACGCGCGGTCGACGAACACCTGCCAGCAAGAGAGATCTCGAGGGGACGAGAATCGCGCGATCTGAGGCTGCTCGATCACGCGAGAACACGCATACGTGACAGCGCGCACGAAGGCGAATTTACATGGCGAGTTATTCGCGAGGGCGATCCTCTAGACAATCAGAGTGAGTGACACTAGCAACTATTACAACGTCGTGTCAACGAAAAAAAAAGTGGGAAATGCACGTATGTCTGGCAAAACGCGTCCCTCTGGAACACAGTTCAATCACGTCTCCTCCTCGATCTCCTGCTCTTCGTGTTCTTCTCTGGTTAAATTTCGTTGTCACTGCTATGTCTCAGGCGTAAAAGCAGAGCGAGCGTTTGATCGCGACTGTGTTCCCAAACACGATCTGTTGTTCTTACCACTGTTACTGCGGCGTGATCAACACCGCGCACGACACGCGACGACGATTACGTCGCGATTTATGCAATCGATAAAGTTGGACGTTTGATCATCGAGTGGCGCGTAACCTGTTCTGACCAATGCACTCGTGCATCGCAAACTTGAATTCATCTCTTTCACTTTCTTTCGGCTCGTTTTCCGGCATACGCGTATGTTTCGCTAAATATACGGATTGGCATCGATTTCTATAGCTAATCAATTTTTATTGATTTATGATAATACGTACCTACTTGTATAAAACTTGTAGTAACTTGAAACTTTATTTCATAAAATAATTGATTCACCAAATTCTAATTTCTTTTTAGTTATGATTATAGTTGTGATTTTCAGTTCTTCTTATTTATACAAAATTATTATTATTAATAATATTAATGTTATAAAAAATATTAAAATATTATAAAATGTTATAAAAAAAATTATAATTTATAAAAAAAATTAATATGAATCAAAAGTAATATTATTTAATAAAAAATGGTTAATATTAATAATTATATATAATAAATTATTATGATATTATATAATTTATTATTATTATTAAATTATTAAAAATTATTATAAAATATTAAAATTCACATAGAAATAAAAAGTATTTCGATATATATATATATATAATCTGGTGGAATAACAATATTGATTGCCGAACCTGTTACACAATAACCAGCCCGTGATATTGATTTTATTGTAACGCACGTGTAGCTTGCGACGAGGGAGAAAGTCCAGACTAAATGCGTTTCAAATTAAACTCTTTTCCCACAGCACTAAGACAGCTAATAATTTAATTTTAATTTTAAATTTAATTTAAAAAAATTTAAATTTAACTTTACGTTCACTCGCTGTTCCATGTCGTTCCACGAGTCGACGAAATATATAACGAAATATAAGCCTTACGAAATATTTGCAACTCGTGTAACGAACTTGAAAAATCGCCGATCTGATAACTGATAGATGACTTGATTTTATAATTTCTTTTCTTAATGAACTTGTGAGTTTCCTGTCCAGTGACACGATGGACGATGACATCGACGAGAAGGACGACACGAAGAGGTAAGCGTTCAATTAAAAGAAAAATGTGAAAATCTCGCAACATGCGAAACTAATTGGAAAATGTTTTATTCTCGCCCCCAGGAAATCGCGAAATCTGAGCGAGAAGAAACGAAGGGATCAATTCAACATGCTCGTGAACGAACTTGGCAGCATGGTCAGCTCGAACACGAGGAAAATGGACAAATCGACAGTACTGAAGTCCACCATTTTGTTTTTGAAAAATCACAACGGTATATTGCAACGATAATTTCTGCCTTACGTTGTATCTCTTGCCTGACCGCGCAATTATACCCAAATGAATGTTACTGAATAATTTTACTCTGAATTTGAAAATTTCATAGAGATAGCTGTGAGATCGAGGGTGCACGAAATTCAAGAAGATTGGAAACCGTCGTTCCTATCGAACGAAGAGTTCACGCATCTGATATTGGAGGTACGGATTGTCTCGTGCAACCGGGCAAACATGTTCTCTCTCTAGTCTTGCGCTTAAGTATCAGTTTCAAACGATGTCGCTGTCGGCTGTAAATTTGTATATTCGTTGTGATCAGAGAATTGGTCAAAGTCCGAGACAATCGTCAGTAGTATATAAAATTCGCGAAAGAGGTGAATCATCCTGAAGGAATTGTTGAGAGCACCGCGATCGATATCGCATGAACAACTTCAATGTCACGTTGATTGAAATTTTTACTGATGAAAACACAAACGACATTTCTTAGGCTCTGGACGGTTTTATAATGGTATTTTCTTCAAGCGGGCGCATTTATTATGTGTCTGAAAGCGTCACGTCCCTTCTCGGCTACCTTCCAAACGAACTGGAGAACACGACCATCTACGATATCACTTATCAAGAGGATCAGTCTCCCCTCTACAATGTACTACTGAATCCTGCCATCACGAAAGATCAACGAAACATCAAACAGGGTATCGTTTTCGTTTCCCGAAAGGAAATCCATTTTTCCGAAGAAAGGAAATATACCGTATATAACGTGTGTATAATGTTATTTTCGCAGAGGAGAAAATATCCTTTTCGTGTCATATTAAAAGGGGAGGCCTGAACGTTCAGGAAAATCCAGTGTACGAGCTCGTGCAGTTTGTCGGATATTTTCGTATGTAATTGATTACATACGTTTCGTCGTATGTAATATGTATAATACTATGCTCACCTATGTTGTACTTGCAGGTTCCGGCGTCGACACGGACGTAGACAACCTGCTTCCGAACACGAAGTTTGGGAACATCACTGGAATGGACACGAAGTAATTTCTTTTGCTTCTTTGCTTTCCGATATTGCGTTAAGTTTAACGCGGTTAAAAATTAAAGTTTTCACGTATTCATCCTCAGCGTCGGGCAGAAGGACAACCATCGATCGCAATTAACTCGTTTCTGTTCTCTTCAGATTGGTTTTCGTGGGTACGGGGCGCCTACAAACGCCGCAGTTGATCCGCGAGTTGTCGGTGCTGGACAACACGAAGTCGGAATTTACCTCGAGGCACAGCCTCGAGTGGAAATTCTTGTTCCTGGACCATCGGGCGCCGCCTATTATCGGATACCTGCCGTTCGAGGTGTTGGGCACGTCCGGGTACGATTACTATCACGTGGACGATTTAGACAAGGTGGTCACATGTCACGAATCACGTACGTCTCGTCTCCAGAAAATTATTATCGGGGTGGAACGACGATGAATCTGAAAAGATCACGAGGAATTTTGTTTACAGTGATGCAGAAAGGCGAAGGAACGTCCTGTTACTACAGATTCCTCACGAAGGGCCAGCAATGGATATGGTTGCAGACTAGATTCTACATCACGTACAACCAGTGGAACTCGAAGCCAGAATTCATCGTCTGCACGCACTACGTTGTCAGTTACATCGACGTGATCAAAGAACTGCGAAAGGAGTCGGAGAGTTTCAATAAGGAGCAGAGTCAGGATGTTCTGATGCCGGTGAAACAACAGCAGGTAAAAATTTGTTTAATAAAAAGTTTTGTTTCAATTTTGTAAAATTATGCGAAGTACGATCCAAGATCGGTCTTTTTACAGGTGACCACATCGTGTCCGGTTCCTTCGACGCAGTGGCCAACAAAATCGTCGAAAACGTCGAAGTCGATACCGTCGAACACACGGCCGCGGCATCATGTGGAGAGTTCCGACAGTTCCTCGATGTCAGCATCCATGCAAAGTTCGCCGCATTCGCAGATAACGCACGTTTCACGATCGAAAGGCGCTTCGGCGAACAACTCCGTGGCATCGAAAACTCAAATATCTCAAATCGATAACAGACAACAGCAGCAACAGCAGCAGCAACCATCTTTGTTGGAGGTTGACCAGAGTTGCATCAACTACATAGAACAAACACCATACGCGACGGTTAATTTGCAGCCTGTGGTTAGCACAGGTTTCGCTGCTCCTACCGCGCCAATTATTTCCACGTTACCAACGCACGAGGTAATGCAACAATTATAAAACGTGGAACTGTTCCAAATTTTAAAAAAGACTCTTAGATTCATATGGAAACTCTGGAAGATAGACGTCGAGTTTCTGATTTGTTGTTTACCGCTTACTGCAGAAATCAACTGCACTCTTTTATTAAGAATTTCATTTAAAATAGGTCTTCTAGATATCTTGGGTATTTTCTCTTTAGATGCAAAGGTTTAGATACAATTAGGTTTACAAAGAAATCGAACATCTTGATCTCTTTAACGCGTAGTATAAAATGTAAAGCAGTGGATTCTTTTTCACAAATACGACGTAATATTGTTTCCCTTATTTATTTACATTTTCATTATTGTATTTATTGTTTGTTGCTTTGTTTTATAGTTGTCATTCTTTTTAAGGTACCGTTTCCTTCCTTAATGGATTTGTCGCACTGAACAAATAAACAAAAATAAAATTCGTAGCAAATGTATTTTATCAGCATGTCGTATTGAAACGCTTCTAAGGACACGGTCGAACATGTGTGTTTTTAGATGTTGCATCAGCAAGGGATCGTGATGACACCGACGCAGAATCAAATTCAAGACGAGCTGCAACGAAAGCACGAAGAACTGCAACAACTGATAGTGCATCAGCAGGAAGAGCTGCGAAGAGTGTCCGAGCAACTGTTCATCGCTAGATATGGGATTCTATCGCCGTTGCTTAATGTAAGCTAGCTTTCACAAATACTTGTTCAAAATTGCCAACAAAACGTTAACAATGAAGGTACTCTTTCAGACGAGCATGCCGTACAACGCCACGAATGCGTGTCAGCAGATAAACAGATGCAACACGAACAATTCCAACGTTCAATTGCCAACGTCCAGCAGCGTTCAAGGAGTGAACGTTCTTCCCTTGCCAATTACGGTCCCGGTGCCACTAGTGCCTACGGAATTGTTCTCTCATCCACTGACGGTGAGTCCAGTTCCAACGATGTCAGCCACAGCGCAAGGGAACGTAGGCACGATGATGCAAACGCAGCAGCAGCTGCAACATGAGCAACAACAGCCTCAACAGCAAGGGCCAGCGCAGCAAAACGGCAGTACGCCGGATCTCGTGCCTTTTCAAATGTGTCCGCATCAAGCTGACATGTTGTACAACGAGATGGAACCAGCCTCGACCAGTCAACAACCGAGACCGTCGCAAAATTGAAGAAATTTCATCGTCTCATTCTCTGGCCACGGCGTTGGCGTTTGAAGCCGAAGAGAAATCTGGACCTGTCGTTTTGTTAATCCATTCGTGTCTCGCGTCGAAAGATTCAGCACGCGAGAAATTTCATATTTTTATACAAACGCGAGTTGTACAAGGGATATTGAGCGAGCGGGATCTAACACAAATTGGACGGATCGTGAGAGTCTGTTACTTCTGTTTCTTGAGACATGTCGTTTTTATACTGGGGGGGGGGGGGGGGAACTAAAGAATTCAAAAGCTTTTGTACTTCTTAATCGTTATGACACATTCTGGAGATATTGAAAATTGTCTCGTTTCAAATCCGTGCAATTTGTGTCAGAAATAAAGTATCACATGTCAAAAGATCACCGCGAACCGCCTTCGTTATTTATTTGCGATCGATACTTTCATTTTTCTACGTACGAATTGACTCTCCGGAACTTTGATATTTAAATCTTTAAAGGGCCAACGTATATACATAATGTGTAAAAATTCTGTACAAAGTAGCAACGTACACGTAAACTGGCTGTTCGAGCTGAACGTAATAAGGGGATAGTTGCTTGATTGATTGATTTAAAAAAGTACAAAACACACGTAAAGTCGAAAGCTCTGTGTTCCAGATACGCATGTACCTCGGACGAGAAAGTTTGAGAATTATTTTCTTTATTCGCTGGACCACTAATAGTTAGAAGAGCCGGATTTTTCGAAAACAGGGTATATTTACGTGCGTATGTGTACAGGGTGTCTACGTTATTAATTTTTAGTAGTTTTTCTTCTTCGTAAATGACCGATTTGCGAGAGAGATTGTGCTATAGAACCACCCTGTATATATATAATATATATAATATATATAGTTGAAAGACGAAGAAAAAGTAATATATTTTGTTGTAAATGTCTCACGATAATAGACTATTTGTAAATGTACGTGTCTGTAGAGAAACGACGTGTATTATCCTCCTGAGTGTGGCATCAAAATCGATATATTTTATGATCGTTGTTAGATGGATTATACATATTATATATTATATACGTATACTGCGAGAAGAAACAGAATTCATATACCATCCGATGAATTATCCAGATCGCGATGAACATGTCTAACAGGCTATTTACGTATATAAGACAATAACTGTTCCCACATGTAACGATGGTAAACGATGGTATAAAAATTTGAGAACTACGTACATATCCAACGTGCAAATAAAGGTTCCTAAAAGCAAAAGAAAAGCAGCGAAATTGTCACGGACAAATGTTGTTCGTCCTGGAATCGATCATTTTTTTTATTTCAGATTAAAAACGAATTTTCTTGAAATTCGGGACCGGGTTGAATCTAAAAACTATTTCTCTCCCTTCCTTCCCTTTTATTCCGTCCCATTTTACAAACAATCTTCACCCATCATTAAATATTACATCGCTATTTAAAATACTGTACCTTGATGCGATCGCGAGTAATCGATGAAATTGCGAATGAGAATCCTACTGCTTCAGTTTTCTTAAAGCGTCCATCAGAATTTGCACCTCTTGGTTCACGTTATACACAAGATCCTCGATCTGGTGCTTGCTGTCGATTATGTTAATGCTCTGAGTGTACGGGTCGTACCTCACGCCGAACTTTCTCGGTATACTCTCGGCGAATTTGCTGCAAGCAAATTGCGAACGAAAATTACACAATGAAAATTATCGATGAATCTCGGCATAAATCTACAATTATCTCAATCACGAACGACTAGACGGGCTGAAAGATTCTAATGATGCAAGATCCGCTTACATCATTTTCTGCTTGGCGTCTTCGAAGTCCTCGGCGACGAAATAAACAGGCTGATACTCGGTTATCGGATATTTTTGCAACGCTGTCTTCGCTGGCTCGAAAGCTCGTAATTCCGGCTTGCCGCTCAAGCAGTACTCGAGCTCGCCGAAAGACGAAAGCAGCCCGGCACCGTACGCCTTCAACTCGCCATTTTGTCGACACAGGCCGAACTCGACCGTGAACCAGAAGCACTGCGGCAAATATATTTTCAATTGTACGATGTAATTCGATGTAACCTCGTGGATAACACAGTGAAAAATGATGGATATATATACCGTGGCTAATTTCTCAATGTATTCGTCAGGGGCACCGAGAGACGCCATGCCGACGACTTGGCAAAACTGGGCGAACGACGGATCGGCAAATAAAGGGACATGGCCGAGTACTTCGTGGCAAATGTCAGGTTCAGGCGTGTACAATGGTTTGCTGCTGTGCCTGATGTACTGCGTGCAGTGAAACACTCTGAAAGCCAGGCCGGCTAGGAAGTCACGCGAAGATAAGAGACCGGCCACGGGTCGAAGAGTGAATCCAGTGCAATCTGCGCAGATATGCGTGTGTATAAAATATCGAACCGATCAAGATCGAAATAATTGGAAAAGTTTAAGAAACTTTCGAAGAGGAGAAAAACTTCTTTTTGGTGGCAGGAATGATCTTGGACCCCGAGGAGTTCACTGAGGTTATCGAACACTTGTTTTCAACGGTTTTTCTATGTTTCTGTATCCAAGTATACGAAATTTCATTGTCATTACGTAAACGTATCAGGTTCCACGGAACTCGAAATAAAGACCAATAATAATATAACCTTTCAAGAAGTTTGATATGTCTTCCAGCTGTGGGATGTTGTCCTCCCTGTAGCCGCAGTTTTCAATGAGCAAAGGGAACACGTGATTATGCTCCTTGCAAGCGTACTTCGGATAAAGCTTCATCAAGTTTTTAAAAATCACGCCCCATGTCTCGATTTCTTCTTTGGTGTACTCCACCCTTGGTATTGGTTGACCACTAAAGGTAGCACAACAGCATAAATTATTGTTACGAGAATTACCTCTGATAAAATATCAACAGATTCTGAATTATCCCAAAACGCTGGGACTCACTGTTTGTAATTGTAGGCCAAATCGGCAAAATATTTGCGCCTCTGCCGGTAAACAGGATCGGTAAATCCAGGATGATCGCTGTCCAATTCAGCGCCGTAAGAGAGGATCTGATTGGCAAACTTGTCTAAATCTCTGATTCTCCTTGGGAACCATGGCACAGTCCCCATGTTGTCTTTGTGGTTCCTGCGAGCATGAGTAACGATGAAGATCACACGTGATAACGTGTTAATTCTAAAATATCTAAACTCGCTATTTACTATTATTCACCACATTATTAAACACTCACCTGGTAATGATCGAGAAATAGCTGGATTGTTCTCGTAGATTTTCGATCACCGTGCCAAGATCTCCGCCGGAGGCGCATTCCACCATAAACTCGTACACGTTCGCTTGACGAAGTGAGCTTCTGGACTCTATATACAACAGATTAACTTCGTGTTCCTGCAAATGTAAAATTGTTTTTTGAAACAGTTGAAGCTATCACGAAGGAACGATTTCCTAGCCTCGGTGAGGCCACTTACAGCGAAAAGTTTCAGATATCTGCTCAATGCTCCAACGGAGTCCTCTTCTTTCGGTGAGAAGATCAAACAAGTATTCTTCGCCGAGTCATTGCCTTCTTTGATGTAATTCCCCCCGTACATCAGCCTCGGCTTATGAAAATAGTGGAAATTGAAAATTGAAATTTAATCGTAAATCTTCTTGCGAGAAACTATACCATACGTCGAAATTCTTATACGTGAAATATGAAAAAAAAGAGGTATATTAAATCTCTTGCGCTGGAATGACGTCGCCATGCACGTCGAGAATTTTTTGTTCCAAAACTGCAATATTTTCTCAGTTTTAAGTATTTAATATTAAAAATAAATATAAAATATAAATAAATATAAATATAAATATAAAATATAAAATATAAATAAATATAAATATAAAATATAAAATATAAATAAATATAAATATAAAATATAAAATATAAATAAATATAAATATAAAATATAAAATATAAATAAATATAAATATAAAATATAAAATATAAATAAATATAAATATNAAAATATAAAATATAAATAAATATAAATATAAAATATAAAATATAAATAAATATAAATATAAAATATAAAATATAAAATATAAATAAATATAAATATAAAATATAAAATATTTTCTCAGTTTGAAGAATATTATATTTAATATATATATAATTATATTAAATATTTAAGTAAAACAAAATAGGCAAAAGAAATAATAAATTTATTACTTCTTAATAATTTCTATCCAGTGATACCAACGAGTTCAAAGAGAAAGCGACAAATTGTTGTACACGGTTTGGTCACTCGTTACGGCCCGCCATCAGCTGCCAGCGCAAGTGGTTAAAAAAAAAAAGGTGCACTACAACTGTGTTAGTTACCAAATTTGGTATCGGAAGTGTTTTTTAAGTTGAACAACACAAATTCTGAAGTTTCGAGAAAATAAAAACAGTTTGATTTGTAAGAGACGCAAATAATACCTTTTTTTTTTTTTTTTTTGTACGATTATAAGAAGAATAAATCTTTACGCAAGAAGTTCTTACATCTTCCTTAAACTGATCCTGCTTGCCAAACAGAAGCAACGTCTTGTCCGTGTGAACCATGCTACTGACTCAGTGCAGGTTTACAGAAACTATGCCTCATTAACTCGACAGATGTCTATTTTATACATCCATCGACGATCATCCCCTCCCTTTTATTTTTTTTTTCCCCCGATTTTTCAGAATGTTCTTCGACCATCGAATGTTTTTCACGATAAAGAAATAAACTTTGTGATTCACCGATAACTCGTTCTCTCGTTGTGGCTTGTTGAAGTCTGACACACTGTCGGGAATGAAGAAAATTCAAGGCCACTGCCGAAATTTTACGAAAATCGACCGAAAAATAACGTGGCGATATACTTCGCGTAACTTTTCATAGGTTTGCATCATGCTAATCATGGATATCAAGGCCGATTTCACTGGATATCCTATGTTTCTTTTTCTTAGTACGATGACGCGACAAACAAGGAAATTATTTCTGGTAATTCCACATATCAACAGTATCTCGATCGATCGATCGTCGACAAATTTTTTAAAAGTTTTCCTTATCATCGTCACGCATGTTATATTCATTTATATTAAAATATGCAATTAGAGATAATACGCACGTTAGGTAATTGCACGTCTTGTAATGATGTATAAATTGGAATGAAACCTGCGACAGTCACATAATACGATTATCTTTACATATATTTATGTAAACTAACACTGTTGCGTAACATTGCAATCGTTATACTGCATGGCTAATTTTTAATTTTTTTTTTTTTCACACGGGATCAATTTGCATTATATGGTGATCCTTACGCTAATGAAGAAAAATTATTCGATCAATTATCCTGAGGAATGTAGAATGCGTTTATTCATTCATTATGAATGCAATTGCTTCGATGCTTCTACGGCGTGTTATAACAGCAAATAACATTTTTACGACGTTAGATAACGTAGTAATTAGATATTGATAGACTTGAGGGATATATAGGTGGAATCGAATTCTGATAGAAATTTATTTTTTTCTTAAGGATAATTATCGACACAAGCAGTGAAATGATAAAGATACAAAACAGGACAACGAATAATAAAAGTTCAGCCAGTTTGGATTTAAGAAACTATATTTACCACTGTGTTTCTCTTTCTCTTTCCTGGGCAAACTGGTTTTCTGAATTTACTACGAACCGTGAAACGCATTTTAAATGAGAACTGGTCTTGTGTTATTCACTGGATGCTCGATTTGAAATTTTGCGGGCCGAAAAATACTTGATTTTGTTGCGAACGAGTTTATCAAAAAACAATGAATTATTTTTAAAAGTTAGGTCAACAAACTATTTCAAAAGTAGATTGATAAATTATTTTAGAGATTATTAAAATCATCATGTGTTGATAAATTATCATCACGTCTAAAATATGTCTAATCGCAGTTAATGTAACCTATAATAAATATTTGATATCCCGTAGAAATTTCTTTTCTAACCTTGCTGCGTTCTATCGATCATTTCTGAAAGACCATTCAATTACTAAAATTAAGAAAGTCAGTGCGTTTTTTTCTTTTTTTTTTTTTTTACGTCAAACATTTTTTTAAAAACATTACAAATCTTGTTCGCTTGCTAAACGACGAACGTAAGATTGGAATGTGAAAAATTTGAGAACCGCAGCAAATATTGACGATAAAACTGACAATGCGCAGAGCGAAACTATGACTCATTGTTATCGGTGCTTTTCCATATGTTGAAACTTATGGGATTTTCAATTCTTTCGTCGATGTTATTTTTCTCTAAAATTTCCTCTTACCTTATCAGCGGGCAAATCATTGCACGTGCCATTCGGAGACGTCGACTGCGATTTCGATACAATTTTCGCGTACATTTCACGATCGTTGTAAACAAAATTGAATGAAAACTGTTTCACGAGACAACTGTCTTGATAGAACTGGTTCTTCTCTCGTCAGGCTGGTTGGTTTTAATAAGATGCCGCCACACACAGGTTTGAAACCAATATCTTTAACGAGAGCGGAGGAATAAATAAATACCAGCCACAGGAAAAATCGAACGATCGAACGATTTATCTTCTGCAGAATAAATGTTGAATAATTAACCTGAATCAAATTTACTGTGCGTTTGCTATAAAACGATTTTCACATTGCGTCACATTTTTATGGCATTGGAGAATGGTATTCGTATTCGACTAAAAATTAAGTCCTCGTTGCGATATTAACGTAAAGTAAAATACATACACATATATAATAACTGCTATGTGGATGTTTTCGATTCGACATAAAAATAATTCGAAACGATCAGCAAACAGATCTGTTGCACAGATTACATCCACACGGTCATACACGAACACAAGCATACTTGAATCGTCGGTTCCCGTTAACCTCAAAATATGAAAGTCGTGATCGTCTGGCCGAGGAAACCAGCAACTGTAAAATTGTCGAAACAAATCTTTTCGTGGGAAAATAATGTGAACTTTTCATTCGTTTCGATAAAAAGGTAAACACTTGACAATTTGTAAGTAATCTATAATTAAAAATTTGTAGATACGTATTAACTGTAAAAGTATGAAGAGAAACATTTTCTTTCCGAAGCAAGTAGGTGATTGCTCTTAAAAACATCCGCCGCTGATAACATCGTCCGTTTCCTAATAGAAAAAAAAAAAGAAAAAAAGAATTAATAATGAAATCGTGGCCGAGTAATCGTTTATCAAACATGAACGCCCGACGAGCGCCTAAATAATTTAATTGGACGTCAGAAAAACGGCTTATTATCAGCGATTGACCCCCGACGAAAAGTCGCGTGGGGATGCGTGAATGTCACTGACATTGGTGCCGTAATACATTCAAGATGCTGATACATTGCTACGGCAATGAAGCTGATGATAATTCGTGTACGATGTTTGCTCGAAGAGAGCCAGTGTGAAATTGTATTTGGTCACATGAGCATGGAAGATACTCTCTTGTTTCCTCTCTCTATGTAAGTCAAGTCCAAAGATCTACATTATCTAGTTAGAGGAAGCAAACTTTTGAGAAGATCGAGTGAAATTAGAGAATCGAAAGAGGATCAAAACGTTAGTTTGGTTTCCTAGAGATGTAGCGATGCCTCACTACTCGGTAAGTAGTACCTTTTTTTTATTTTTTTTTTTTGTTATTTGCTTATTATAATATATAAAAATATATATTATATATATAGTAATTTCTATTATATAGTAATAATAATTTTATATATAGTAATTTTTATTATATAGTTATAATAATTTTTATTATATAGTAATAATAATTTTATTATATAGTTATAATTACATATACAGGGTGTTTCGTAACTTGTGGAACCCACTTCGGGAATTGATTGTACGCCTAAAAATAATGAAAAAAAGTCATATAAATATATGTCTTATCTGTCTTCGTTTATGAGATATAATGAATTNAATGATAGAGAGAGTAACCAGATGAATGACAAGACGCGTGCAGGCTTGTCTTCAAATGCAAGCTGGTCATTTCGAGCATCTAAAAATAATTAAAACAGAGAATTCATTATATCTCATAAACGAAGACAGATAAGACATACATTTATATGGCTTTTTTTCATTATTTTTAGGCGTACAATCAGCTCCCGAAGTGAGTCCCACAAGTTACGAAACACCCTGTATAGTAATTTTTTTACCTAATTACAATATATACTATATACAAATATATACAAATTATGGAGAACTTGATTTTTCCCGAGGTAAACTACATAAAAAAAATTGCTCGTTACGATTCAAAGAAAATTGCCCTTTGCTCGGACTTAGTTTCGAGGGAATTTTAATTGATGTTCACTCGTTGCAGGCACGAGTACGACAGGGCTGCGATCGATCTTACATGGATTCCATTTCTCCTGTTGCGAAAGCGAATCGATCTGCGACTTGCACATACGTCCACGCATCCTTGACAAACGTGACAGAGAGGTTCTACGAAAATAATAACGTGCAGAATTCACGGTCACCGTACGGGTGGAAAAAACGGGTGGGAATAAGCGACAGACGAAGATGGCCCTCGACTTTTTCGCCGGATGTGTCGGAGGTAGTTTCAGCTCGTGCTTACCTCTCAATCGTCTAAATCTCGGAGACGCAACTTCCAATGTGAAGTCAGCAACGAGATAAAAAAAGAAAGATTCCCCCGTGTTTTCCTTCCGAGCTTCGAGGAATCTTTCAAACGAGGAAAGTTCGATTGGCAGAAGAGCGACGCAAGTTAAACGTGGGTTAAACGTCGAAGATTTCCTCTCGTCTCGAAATAATCAGCGCTCGCGAAGAAAAATAACGAAGGGATCTACTTTCGTTCCTCTACAGTTTATTTTAACCAGTCGTGACTGTTATCGTCGCGTATATTTTCATTGATAGTTTGCGTTGAATGATATCTCCGTGAAAAGGAATTGTAACCGTTATTGTTGTTATGCCGTTTCATCGTCAGATAGATAGAGAAGTCGTGACTAATTAAAAAAAAAGAATCGATTGATTATTGACAAGGGACGTAAAGCATAAAGCGACTGTAAAGAAGGACGTTGCGAGAGGAATAAACTAAAATTCTATATAAACCAAATGATTTGTTCTAGGATTTGCCGGTGTTATGGTGGGATATCCTCTGGACACCATCAAAGTCCACATGCAAACGCAAGATTACCGCAAGCCAAAGTACAGGGGCAACTGGGATTGCTTTCGGACGATACTCGCAAAAGAATCGGTATTCGATAGATAATAGATACGATACCTTGATCGTTATTAACCACCACTTACGTTGGCAAACTGATTGCGGACCATAACGAGTGACCAAACCGTACAATAATTCGTCGCTTTCTTTTTTTAAAATTAATTTCAAATATTTATTCTTTTAAATGTAACATACCTGAAACTGAGAAAATGTTTTATATTTATATTTACTTATATTTTATATTTATTTTTAATATCAAATACTTTAATATACTTAAAACTAAATATTTAATATATTTAATATACTTAAAACTAAATATTTAATATACTTAATATACTTAAAACTAAATATTTAATATACTTAATATACTTAAAACTAAATATTTAATATACTTAATATACTTAATATTTAATATACTTAATATTTAATATACTTAATATACTTAATATTTAATATACTTAATATACTTAAAACTAAATATTTAATATACTTAATATACTTAAAACTAAATATTTAATATACTTAATATACTTAAAACTAAATATTTAATATACTTAATATACTTAAAACTAAATATTTAATATACTTAATATACTTAAAACTAAATATACTTAATATACTTAAAACTAGATATACTTAATATACTTAATATACTTAAAACTAGATATACTTAATATACTTAATATACTTAAAACTAAATATACTTAATATACTTAATATACTTAAAACTAAATATACTTAATATATTTAATATACTTTAATATACTTTAGTGTACTTAAAACTGAGAAAAATATTGCGATTTTGGAAAATTTTCGACGTGCGTGGCGACATCATTCCAGCGCAAGAGGTTTAACGACCGTCGAGATGATGATACCTTGTCAAATTTCAATTAATACGAACGATCCTTCCAGGTAGCAGGCCTTTACCGGGGCATATCGTCGCCGTTGGCTGGCGTGACGTTGGTGAACGCCGTGATATTCGGCGTGTACGGCGAGACCCGTAGGCACATACCGGATCCCAACTCGTTGTCCTCGTGCTTCGTCTCCGGCGCGTTGGCGGGTCTCGCTCAAAGTCCAATCTGCAGCCCGATCGAACTGGCGAAAACGCGGATGCAACTACGAGCATCCAGCAACAGGGCGCAATTCTCCGGGCCGATGGACTGTCTCAGATACACGTACGAACACGAAGGGTACCGCGGCGTGTTCAGAGGTTTGAACGTCACGTTACTCCGGGAAGTACCAAGCTTCGGTACCTACTTCCTCACGTACGAGATTTTAACCAGAACGCCCGACAACGCTCCCGTCTCGACGCCGTACATGCTGCTGGCCGGTGGGCTAGCCGGTACCGCTTCCTGGACCGTGTCATACCCGCTGGACCTGGTCAAGTCCCGAATTCAAGCGGACGGGCATCGTTACGCCGGGCTGGTCGACTGTTTTAGGCAAACGGTGACGAAGGAAGGATACTCGTGCTTGTACAGAGGTCTCAGCTCGACCGTCATCAGGGCCTTTCCAACCAACGCCGTCACCCTCACCGTGGTCACCTGGACCTTCAGATTATTCGGACAGGACAACGATTCCGTCGCGACGACCAATCATTCTCAACGGGAGATACTTGTGAAAACGATGGAGCCCGTCGGTGTATTTTGGGGTACGCGCGAGCCTTTCTTGGAGAATTGGAACAACTTCTTGACCGGCATGCCTGGAAGAATGGCGATTCATGGGTTGCCGTGTTCCACGCTGTCGCTGACGTCGATCGACGAGTTGAAGCTCGAGGAGGAGATGAAGCACGGAAGAGAGGAGGGTGAGAAGAGAAGGATGTCCAGGGAGGATGTCGAGAATTTGGAGGAACTCTGTGAAAAGAAAGTGGAGAGGACTGTTGTTAAAACAGTGAACACGGTTTCGATGGCTCTCGCTTGAGGAAATCTCCGGTAGCAGCCTCGCGAGCAGAACTGTAATGAAAGTTACGTTTGTTATCAGAGAGACTGTCACAGCGTTTCTTATATTTTACGAAAGTTTCTTTTGTAGAACTGTATATAAAAATAGATTTTATGGTATCGTATTATTCGTACGTACATTTTTCTTTTTTTTTCTTTTTTTGTGTGTCTCTTCTTCGAATCAAGAGATTAACCTTAATAAATTTTCGACTAACGACTAAATTCTCGATATAAAGTCTCCGTCTCTCGTACATTTCGTCAAATACGAGTACGTGAGATCGAGAAGTCCTTTCCAGTCCTCGTCCTCGATGCTCGCAAGTGACTTTTCTCGATTCGAATCGCGTGAAATCGCGTTAAATAGCGGCGACATCGGTCAAGATGCGCTGGCATAACCTCCGCGCTGTGTAAACTATCATGAATCTTGCCATCGAAGTGCTCATTTGTCAGAAGACAGTCCTAGACTGAACGGCGGACATGTAAGACCTATGTCACAGCCAGAGGCGACATTTACTCTCTTTTAGAATCACACAAAATAGTTTGTATCTATCAGCCACCCATCTCTCCTCCGCTCCGCTTCTTCTGCTTCCGTCGTATATAATTCCCGGTCTTCAAGTCCGTCCGTCCACGTGTTGAAATCTGTTTTTTTTTCTCTCTCTCTCTTTCTTGAAATTGCAACGCGTACAAGTCCCCTCTTTCAACTTTAACTGGCATATCGGATCCGTAACCCAGACTGTAGAAGACCGATTATCAATCAATGATACCCACGGGAACGACTGATTGTCAAGGGTCAAACGTCGTGAAAATTCAACACCATCGAAAAAATTGATCGAAAGCGATTGACGAGCGATTGGGAAACACTAACCTCTCGGACGACTTGAAAATTGACGGAGTCGCAGGTATTCTCGCAGGCACGATTCTCCACCGACTTTCGAAACGACACGCTTATTTCATTTTCGCTTCTTAATTGATTATTTAACACTAGAACTACCGATGGCTGAAACATAAAATTTCCGTTCAGAGAGACATCAGAGTCAAAAGAATAAGGGAACTTTATAATAATACAAATGTGTATAAACTTTCATTTATATATTTTATAAAAAATTATTTAAATCCTCAAAAGTACAGTGTTATTGCGTCTATAAAATATCTAATAAAAATTATATTAAATTGACCACTCTGGTAGTTCTAGTGTTGAAAGAGCTATTTTGAAAAGAAACGCGAGAGAAAAGAAAATAAATAAATAAAAGATACGATTAGAAGATCACCAGCTAAACAAAGGAGATATGATTAGAAAATTTTCAAGCCGAGTCAGACGACCACCGACGGGACTGGACAACGCGTTTCTCCACATCTGCCGCCGCGAATCCTCGGAGAGCAGGCTCGTGCCCCGGTTTCGAGGAGATTTGATATGGATGTAGACTCAAACGACAACAGCAAAGACACAGACCTGTGCGAAACGAACGCTCAACGATTGATCGCCGAGAGCGGTGCCCGATGTATGAGCACGCAAGCGATGCAATCGCTCTATGACTTCCGCCAGAACAACCTTCTTTGCGACGCGGTCCTGAGACTCGAGGATGGAGGCGTTTTCCCCATTCACCGCGCCATTTTGTCGGCTTGCAGCCCCTACTTTAGGTCTGTATAACTTAGGCCTACTATATTAATATTAATATATAATTTAATTTAATAATATTAATATTATATTATAATATATAATTAATATGTAATTTAATAATACTAATATATAATTAATATATAATTTAATTTAATAATATTAATATTATATTATAATATATAATTAATATGTAATTTAAATAATACTGATATATAATTAATATATAATTTAATTTAATAATATTAATATTAATATTATATTATATATAATTAATATGTAATTTAACAATATTAATATTATACGTTATATTTTAATATTAATATTATATATTATGTATATTATAATATATACATTATATTAATATATAATTAATATGTAATTTAATAATACTAATATATAATTAATATATAATTTAATTTAATAATATTAATTTAATTTATAATATTTACTTTAGGTCTGTATAATTTAGGCCTATATAACTTAGGCCTACTATATTAATATTAATATATAATTTAATTTAATAATATTAATATTATATTATAACATATAATTAATATGTAATTTAATAATATTAATATTAATATTATATTATATATTATATACTAATTATATATTAATATTAATATATTATATATTAATATTAATATTATTTTAATTATATACTAATATATAATTAATATAATTTAATTTAATAATATTAATATTAATATTATATTATATATTATGTATATTATAATATATATATTATATTAATATATAATTAATATGTAATTTAATAATATTAATATTAATATTATATTATATATTATATATATTATATTAATATATAATTAATGTATAACTTAATTTAATAATATTAAGATACAATTTAATTTAATCTATACCTTGCCCCTACTCTGATTAATTATCTTCGACAAATATGATTGCCTATGTTTTGATATTACATTATTATAGCATAATAACATATTACGCTATTCTGTCGTTGACAGAACATTATTCACAACGACGTTGCACTCGCGCGAGAAAACGGACGTGCTTTTGCCCGGTGTCAGTAGCAACATGATGAATCTGCTCCTCGAGTACGCTTACCTACGTTCCATCAACGTGAACAACGAAAACGTCTGCCAGCTGCTGGTCACCGCCGATTACCTGAACATCCTCGGCGTGCTGGACTTCTGCTGCGAGTATCTGAAGCAGAATCTGGCACCGGGGAATTGCATCAGCATCATGAGGTTCGCCAGGGAACACTTTTGCAAAGGATTGGAGAACGACGCGTATCGTTACGTCATGAGACATTTTGTACAGGTCATTACGCTTGCGTTGCTTTCTCCGTACGTTGCCTTTTTTTCTTTCTCCCTTTCCCTTAATTTGTATTAATAAATTCACAATTCATATAATGCATTATATTAATATATATATCGTATTATATAAATAAATTTTTTTCTTTCGAAATGATATACCTGATTTCGAGAAGATCGCAAGTATCTATAAATTTTTTCAACAAACAGAACGTTAATTTGCGTTGCAATATAATCACGGGCCAAGAATTGGATCCTATTTTGATAAAGCTATTTCACTCACAGTCCGATCACTATCTTTCTCTCATTCGCAATCTCTCCAACCTTTATTTATTACCTTGTGTTGTTTTAATCTATTCTATTTTGTCCTTTCCATTTTATTTTATCCATTCTATTTTACCTATCCTGTTCTACCTATTTTTATTCCTTTCTTTTCTTTCCTTGTTTTTCTCTTCATTTTCCCTCGACGCTTGCCACGTCTTCCAATCTGACATTCTTTTCTGTCCTTCTACACTCCCTCCGTTGTTCGAAATTTCCAAACTTGTCTCACCGCGCAACATCACTTCCCTCATTCATTCTAAATCGCAAAACGATGGAATTCGACGTAGTAGGTAGCTCAACGAAGCGAGGAGATCCTCGACTTGCCGATCGAAGAGCTAACCACGCTGATCGGTGCCGACGAGCTGAACGTGAAGAGCGAGGACACGGTCTGGGATCTGGTATTGAAATGGATCAACTACGATCCACAATCGCGGAAGGACTACATCGTCGATCTGATGAAGAACATTCGCCTCGGCCTGCTCGACACGCAGTTCTTCCTCGAGAATGTCAAGGATCATCCGTACGTCACTGGCAACGACGCTTGCCGGCCGATCATCATCGAGACACTGAAATTCTTGTACGATCTGGAGATCATCACGCAAAAGGACGGGGAAGTACCGACGCCGAAAATAGCGCGGCCGAGGGTCCCCCACGAGATACTGTTCGCGATAGGTGGTTGGAGTGGTAGAAGTCCGACGAATTTCATAGAAACCTACGACACTCGAGCTGATCGGTGGGTCAAGGTAAGTCGGTTTGATCGATAGATCGCAAGGGGGCAGGACAGTTTGAAGGGGGCCAAAAAATAGTAAAGGGGGGCCAAAGGCTAGTAAAAAAAGAGCTATATTTGATTGACATGAGATTAACTTAACTTTTCAACAGGCTTTTACATAACTTTTTTTTACATTGCCTATCGGTTTACTATTCCAGCCAAACAGGATTAGTTGCAACAAAAATGCAAGAAACGTTCAAAAGTAAACAATATTCTCTAGGAATTGACGATCCAACATTTTCATTTTTGTGAAAATTATGAAAATGGCAGCTACTTGTTTTTGATGTATCGAATTTATGCAAAAAATTTCTACGTCTTTTTGTTTATATTTTTCGAAATCGTTAAAAATTAAAAAAATATACGATCGTCAGTCCTTAGTAAATGTTACACTAAAGATACGTTCCAAGTTTCACGGTAATCGGTTGGTTAGATAACGAGATATATCTTGCACACCGTTTCTAAAAACCTAGTTTCGTGAAAAACGCGTTTAAAGTTTCAGAACGTCATCTTTCATATGTATCCTTTACTTAAATATCGCGGCTCACAGTTCTTACAATTCACAACTAAATTGAATCCAAGTCCCATTTTATAATACTGCTCAAAGTTGTAAACAGTGATACAAATTCAATTATTTATTATTATACCCCAAGATAAGTCGTTTTAAAGGCTAGGGCCTTTGGTATCTTATTTCTAAGACCTCAAGCTACCATTTAAAACAAGAAGAAAAAAAATTCGATATTTTGAAAATTTCAAACTGTCCTGACCGCTTAAGAGAACAGGGAATAGGATTATCGCGATCGATCGTACAATCGACGATTTGGAAAAACACAAAGGTGGAGGAGGTGGATCCGATCGGGCCACGTGCGTATCACGGGACAGCGGTGGTCGGCTTCAACATTTACGTGATCGGCGGTTTCGACGGCGCGGACTATTTCAACAGCTGTCGTTGCTTCAACGCTGTTACCAAAACGTGGAGGGAAATCGCGCCGATGAACGCCCGTAGGTCAGAAACAAATCAAACAAAGATTTCGTCACAATTAAATCGTTTTTTTAAACTAAAATCCAAGTAATAATATAAATAAATTATATATAAATATTATTTATCAAAATATATCTTTTTCAGACATATTACTTTTATTCTAAAAAGAGTAACATATTTTTATAAATTAATTATTAATTTATAAATATATATATTAAATAATTATATATAATTATATATTATTAAATAATTTATTTATATATATATGTATACGCGATACAAATGTTATAAATTTCTCTCGATCGAACTATGCGGTGGAAATCTCAGGTGTTACGTTAGCGTGGCAGTGCTCAACGATCTGATCTACGCGATGGGAGGATACGACGGATATTATCGGCAGAGCACCGCGGAGCGTTACAACTACAAGACGAACCAATGGTCCCTGATAGCGCCCATGAATTGTCAAAGATCGGACGCCAGTGCAACTACTTTGAATGGTAAATCAAAAAGTTTTCATTTTAACCTCTTGCGCTGGAATGACGTGCCACACGCTTTTTGTCCCAAAATTCTAATATCTCCTCAATATTGTAACATCTTCGTTTTAAGTATATATTTAAGTAAAACAAAATAGGCAAAACAAATAATAAATTGATTACGTCTCAATAATTTCTATCCAGTGATATCGTACCGACGAGTTTCAAAAAGAAAGCGACAAATTACTGTATACGGTTCGGTCACTCGTTATGGTCCGCAATCAGTTGCCAGCGCAAATGGTTAAGGATACTTATATAAGTAATGTCGTTTTTTGACACTGTAGAAAATTTTATTTTATTTAAAAGTTAATCTGTAATATAATTTAACAATAAACACACTAAATATCAATGCATTTAACTAGAATATAGGTTATGTTAGACATAACATAGATTATGTTATATGTATATATTATATATTATAGCATAACATGTAATAAGTAAAATTATACATTTAAGTAAAACAAAATAGGCTACTTAAATATTTATATTTATATTTTACTTAAATATATATTTAAGTAAAACAAATTTACTACTTCTCAATAATTTCGACGACGAAAAAAAAAGCGACGAATTACTGTACACGGTTCGGTCACTCGTTATGGTCCGCAATCAGTTAACCAGCGCAAGCGGTTAATCTGTTATAATTTAATCTTCGTTCGTCATAGATAATTGATCATTTTCGTGAAATCGACAATTTGTTTCTACAACGTAGACAAAATTTACATCACGGGCGGATTCAATGGCCACGAGTGTTTAAATTCAGCCGAGGTGTACGATCCAGAAACCAATCAGTGGACCATGATTGCTCCGATGAGATCGCGTAGAAGCGGAGTGTCTTGCATAGCTTATCACGGCAACGTATACGTTATCGGTAATTGGAATTTCCCTTTCTTGCTTACTTTTCTTTTTTGTTGTTTTTTTTTTTTTATCGATCTATCGCCAATGAACGAATCTTTCCAGGAGGTTTCAACGGGATATCAAGGATGTGCAGCAGTGAGAAGTACAATCCTACGACGGATATTTGGAGCTCGATTCCCGATATGTACAACTCGCGCAGCAACTTCGCGATCGAGGTGATCGACGACATGATTTTCGCCATCGGCGGATTCAACGGCGTTACCACGATCTATCACGTCGAGTGTTACGACGAAAAAACGAACGAGTGGTAAATTTAAAAGATTTTCAGTCGTCTGACAATATAATTGATATCAAAAAGATTTTGAACATGACGAGATTCTTTCTTGATCGTACCAACACTTTTGAAACGTTGAAGTTCAGAATTTTTGCCTCTTCTGGCATCCTTTGCAGGTACGAAGCGACAGACATGAACGTGTACCGTTCGGCGCTGTCAGCCTGCGTGATTATGGGCTTGCCAAATATAAACGATTACATCCACAAACACCGTGAACGTTTGATGGAAGAGAAACGACAGAAACTGTTGGCACTGGAAGTGCACCGCAGTCAACATCAGCAAGACCAAATGCTGCAGAACAGCGAGAATTCCTTGAGCAACGAAATACCCGTACCACCTCCAATGCCTCCAAATAACAATTCCAGCAACGAACATCGACGAAATTGACAACAACCACGAATAACGAAACATTTACAATGGGGTTACGGCCAATCGGATGGACGATAGTCCACGTGACAGAACGACGAATATTCAGAACGATTGATTAGCCGAAAAAACAATAACGATAAATTGGAGGCAGTTCGTATTAATAGGAACATTTTACTGGTTTTATATTTTTCGGTTTATCGAGAACGCTTGATGAAAGAGGATGAAACAATTCATACAAATTTCGAACGACGAAGTAAACGAGGGTAAGGATAAGAAAATCTCATTGGGAAGGCAAGATATCATTCACGATGAAGAGGGATGGGTTTTTTTTTTTTTTTTGAAACTGAATTTTGGTTTTTGAAACGGCAACTTGAGAAAAAAAACGGAATATTTTCAGATTCGTATTTTTTCTGAATATATTGGACACGTTGGAGATGTGTGTTCTTTTTATTTTTATACACGAGACATGTTTTTATTACCTGTATTTGTGATGCGATTTTTTTACGACGTTTTATTGGATGATTTTATACGTATAGAACGAATTTTGAAAGGCAATTGTGTTATAAAGATGAGGAACGATCTGTGACATCTTTACACGTTAATTAACGTTGACGAAAGATATTTACAAAAGCTGTTGAAATGGAACTTTACAACGATCAATAAAAAGACATTAACAAATTACGTGGTTTTTCACTTTTCGTCGATGGTTTTATTTAATAAAAAGTTGATCGAAAATTAATGAATCATCAACAGTGAATCTCGACGTTTTAATAAATTATCTTCAAACGATTATTTTATACTCGAAATTGATACTTTCAACTGGGTTCGGGTATAATTTTCATCCAAATTTCAAGCGTAATTTGAAAGAAATTAAATACTTGAATTTTAAATATGTAGCGACCGATATATCTCCAAAATCTACAGTAACGCCATCTATACAATCATCCTGTCGAAAAGTACGATTCCTGTAAATCGACATTATAAATTGTAAATTGATAGTTTATTTATTACTATGGAAATGTTATTGCCATGATTACTTGTTTATAGAGATATATATATAGATCCCATTTTAGAATTAGTGATTCATTCCATAACTAACATTTGTTGAAAACATTTATCTATTTTTACTGTAA